GGGGGGGGGGGATAGGAAAATGGAGGTCGCTAATAATACTCCGAGTTTTATATTTGATACAATTCTCGTTAGTAATCAATAAGCTTTTAATCTACATGTATATAACAACAATAATGTAGAACAATTTTGGTATAACAAAAGTGAAAAAAAATTTGGGGGGGGGGGTGGGGGACTCCTCAAAATCTGTAGTATTTCATGATGAGTTTGGAGGATTAAATAGCTCCTCCACTTCTCCTTCTCCCCTGACTCCCCAACCAAACACACGCAACTTCCACACTTCACCTTCAAAATGACCCATCCTAGCAATGTTTTATTAAGGTTTGTTCTGTGATTTTTTCCCCGTTCTGCAGGCTCCTCCATGCAATGTTATTTACTTTTAATGCTCTTGCGATAAAATTTCTCTCTACTATCTCTGGTGGCTCCAAATCAGCTTTCGCGAAGAAGGAAAATGCTAGTGCCCTCTTACTTGTTGCAAGCCAGGTGAAAATACAGTTTTGCTAAATTGGCTCATAGTTTCATCTCACTATGGCAGGTCATGTTAACTGTGGTGTGATCTAGCATGCTATTATTACATGTTGAAGTATATAAAATACTCCCTCCACCCCTTGAAAAACTTCAGCTCTCCTTAGTTCTCTCTGAATAAACTCTGCCTGTTCTTTAAGGTGTGTTTGCTTGTAGAGGTGAGAAAAGAGAGTGATACCCTCCCCTTGTTTGGTTCAAAACATTTTTTTATGCGAGACCCAAAACTTTCCCTCCCATCAAAATGTTGATGAGAAGAGAAAATTCCTTTTGGGTCCAACATAAAGAAAACATTTTGATCCAAACGAGGAGGGAATCATTTTTCCTACCCTCCCTCCAACCTAACACACTTTTAAGGAAATAAATATTTGATTGAATAAATCTCAACACAATACCAACCTCTCAAACTCCGTGCTTCCCAATCATCATTGGGCTCATGCCCATTATTTCTCCGTATAAGCGTCATAACAGTCTTTTAAGAAATTATGAAGTAGCAAGTCAAAAGTCGTATCGATGAAAGTAATAGTTTTATTATTTTACGATAGAAAACCTTGCCGGTCATGGTAGCAGTTGTGGAACAGCTTGGTGGATCATTGGGTGCACCTGGTCTGCTGGTTCTTCCCTGTGTAGCAGCCCATTTGAACCAGGTTGGTTGTTCATCTGTTCAATGTTCACTTCTCTTTTCCAAACAAACAAACAAAAAAAACCATTTTATGTTTCTGGTTTACAAATTGTTTATCTTTGGTGACATGAAAAAGACTGGTGCAGATTATCATGGATTCTTTTGTTGTCAACTTTTGGCAAAAGGATAGGGCAACCTCCATTGCAAAGGATGCTTGAATTCGCTGTAATTGTATTCATGCATGTGCTACAACAAGGCCACGTTTGGTTATGAGCATATTGCTAAGCAATGTGCTCTTTTTTAATATAGCATTTTGAACAGAGCAATGCTAGGTTCACAAACAAAATAGTCACAAAATTTACAAACTTACCATTTATGGTTTAAAATTTTCATTTAAACTTATTTCAGACTACTTTATTTTTTTATTGAAGTTCACAAATAGTAAATTTGTGATATTTGTGACCATTTTATTTGTGAACCAAGCATTTTCTCTTTTGAACAAAAGAACATCTTGATCAGCTAATTGTGATGTCTTGTGGAAACATCGGTTTTTCATTTAGTATTTTGGGTAATTTTATAATTATATAGATTAATTTTGAAAACGGGTTTGGTAAAATTTGAAACAAGTCAAATAATTTTATATGGTGAGGAATTTGCTGATTTCATAGGATGAGCATTTTGAAAAGGTGTGTTTTCTATCAGCATTTATGTTCCTCCCACCCATTTGTTTGGAGCTAAGGTTAAACATGTTTTTGGACCAAAAACAAAATTTCCAAATTTTTTTAAGCTAGAGGAATCAAAAACAAAATTTACTAATTTTAACGAGACTAAAAACATACTTAACCCGAAGTATAGACCGGTGAAATGGCTATTTGAAAAAAAAAAGATATTAAATAAGTTAGAAATTTTTTAGGGGGAACAAAAGAAAAATTATACTCCGTAATTTTACCAGAAATAAAAACATATTTATAGACTTAAAGATTAATCAATTATGGAGTATTTAGGGATGGTAGGGCCAAACTTGGCCTTCATCGATCCATCTATGTTGCAAACATTATCTTTCATTTCATTTATCTGTCATAGGATGAAACAAATGATATTAATAATAGAGTAAATTCCATAATTAATCTTTTACTTGTGATTTCATTGGCTATTTAATATTCTTACCACCTATTATTTTATAAAACTTTTGATGTACTTTTTAAATATGTAAATTTTAATTTTAATTTATATACCAATTTTTAAATAAAATGAATTGAAAAAATTTAGAATTTTATTTCATTTTACGTAAAGTATAAATGATTTAGGGACAGACTTTTAATCATTAATTTGATGAAATTATGATGCGTAACACAAAAAGTCTTTGAAAAAGGAGATAAATACTCTCTCGGTGTGAAAACTCTTTTTATTTTGATTTTTTTTGATCAAACAATAACACTTATTGACTATAAAATGTGAAAAATAAATATTGAATTATAATATAAATTTAATATAATTAAATTTATCACAAACATAATTTTGATATATCAAACTTTTATACTCCCGTCGTTCCGAAATATATTACAATATTCCCTCACATTTTTGTCCCAAAAAGGATTACAAAGTCAATAACTTTATAGTGATTTGACTCTTTTACCCTCCCCTTTTCTTTTCTACCAGCCACTATTCACACTATTTGGGGGGATTTGGGGGGTAATTTGGAGAAAAAAAATTGATTGGACTCTTCCTTAATTTCAACTAAAAGGGAATATTGTAATTTAATGTAGGGAAAGGAGGGAGTAACATTTATTTATTTTTTGAGAATCGAACATGGCAATGGAGGAGCTCTTGCCTGTCAGCGAAGGAGCTTAGAATCGGGAGGAGATACCGTTCTGTAAGGCGTCTTCCTCTGATCCTCTCTACGTGTACGCTTCTTGACCTAATTTTTTCGAATTCGATTCGATTTCTGGCGTTCCATACTTCCATCTTCACTACTCTGCAGTTTGAATTCTTCATTTCGAAATCGATTCAGTTTCGAAATACTGCTGCTATAAAGTGCTCTATAGCTTGTGCGTTTGGATGATCTTCATGAATGGCTCCAGAATTATTGAGGAAAGCTCTATCGCACCGCATTCTGGCAAGGTATTATTACTCTTACTCTTCTCCACTCATCCCTGCCCAGAAACTGAGTTCAGGCAGAAATTACGCAGTTAAATTAGGTTCCTTTTATGAATGTGATAAGCTCAGTGAAACCCTGTGTTCTGGGGGGGACTTGGGTAGTGATATGAGGCTGGAGAAGTTGAGTTGGGGAGGATCGTCCCGCGATGTTTTGCTGAGGAATCTCGAAACCTCTCTGGTGCATCACAAGCTGGATGAAGCTTGGGATGCTTACAGCGATTTCAAGCGCCTGTACGGTTTCCCTGACCGCTCTCTTGTGGCCAGATTGGTGACCGGATTGTCGTATTCGTCCGATCGCAGTTGGCTTAGAAGGGCGTGCGATTTGGTCATTTCGATTCAAGAAGAGAAATCCGGGTTACTTCACCAGGACTCAATGGCTAAGCTGACCCTGTCCTTAGCTAGAGCTCAAATGCCTATACGGGCATCAAAGGTTCTTCGACTGGTTCTTCTGAAGAGGAGGAGGTCACTGCCATGTAATGTGTTACAGATGATATTTCTTCATTTAGTGAGAACAAAGACCGGAGCGCTTCTAGCTTCGAACATTTTGGTTGAGATTTGTGACGCGATTCAGCAGTCCGATGCAAACAAGCCTTCTGCTGCTGTGAGGTTCTGCAGAAAGCCTGATACTGTGATTTTCAACCTCGTTCTTGATGCTTGTGCGAGGTTCGGGTCATCTATCAAAGGCCACACTGTTATTGAGCTGATGGCGCGAGTTGGTGTCGCAGCTGATGCGCAGACCATCGCATCCGTTTCTTCTATTTACGAGGCGAATGGGATGCGAGATGAAATGATGGAACTGAAAAAGCATGTAGACCGGGTCCCGTCTTGTACTCCTAGGTGTCACTATAGACAGTTCTACGAGAGCCTATTGAGCTTGCATTTCAAATTCGATGACATTGATTCTGCTTCTGAACTCATATCGGATATGTATTTGCCTCGCCGGGTCCCAGATGAGAGGATGGAATCGGAGAAACCCTGCCAGGTCCCACTAGGAGGATCTCATCACATTAAGAAGGGTTTGACGCTACGTGTTTCCCCTCACTTACTAGAGAAGGACACCGTCCTCCACTTGGGTACCTATCACAGGTTCGTCACGTGCGACAAAGAGGGGAGACTCATTCTCACCAACAAAGCACTGGCCAAGCTGATGCTGCAGTACAAGAGGTGTGGGAGAATTGCTGACATGTCAAAGCTTCTATGTAGGATCCAGTCCACACTAGATTCTTCTAGAAACATGGTTGACGATGCGGTTGACGCGTGCGTTTATCTCGGATGGCTTGAAACCGCACATGACATTCTAGATGACGTGGATTTGGAAGGGAATCGACTGGCCACTAGTTCATATATGTCACTGTATGATGCCTATAACAACCTCAAGATGTTCAACGAAGCGGCTCTGGTACAAAAACTAATGAGGAAAGTGAATGGTGATACGAAAAAACTAACTTCTAGTGGGAACTCGGATATGAAGGACCACATTGCTCGCGAAATGAGAGAAGAAGAGGAAAAAGAGGCAAATTCTTCTGCGGTCTATAAGTTAAACTCTTCTATATACTTCTTCATGAAGGCACACATGATAGAAGATGCCAAAAGGGCGTACAAGAAGATGCAAAAGACGAAGGTCCAACCAACAGTCACAACATATGCGAACCTAATCCGGGGTTACTTTTCCATCGGAATGCACCGCGAAATCACGTTCTTGTGGGGGGACATTCGGAGGAACACGGAGAAAGGTTTGGAGTTGAGGGACAATGGTTTGTATGAGATGTTATTGTTGAGTTTCCTCAGAGGTGGCTACTTTGAGAGGGTGATGGAAGTCATTGGCCTTATGATGGAGGAAAGGGGTGTGTACTTGGACAAGTGGGTGTATAAATATGAATTCCTCAAGTTTCACAAGGATCTTTATAGGCATATGGGTGCACTTGATGCAAGAAATGAGGTGCAGAAAAAGAGGATTGCATATGTGAATGAATTTAAGAAGTGGGCTGGCATTGATTGAACAATCTATGAACCAATAACAATGTATATTAATTTTTTTTTTATATAAATCTTGTATTTAAACTAAGTAATTGGCATTTGGAGTGCTGCCCATACTTATTATTATACACACAAAAACCCCAACATCAATACAACATATATATGTCTGTTTTGTGTGTGTACAAGAAAGGAAAAAAAAAGAAATAGTAAACAAAAAAGATTCAAGTTTCAACACTTTGTATGGAAGAAAAGATGGGTTCACTTGGGCAAACCGGTTTCTGGGTTGAGTAGAGCTCGACTCTCGTCGCTAATCAAAACGGGTCCTCTTCCTGGTCTTGTGCAGATGAAGTAACTAACATCGCCCTTGTTCTTAGTAACATTGTTATCTTTGATTTCTGGAGGCGGAGACAGGGCTTCTATGTCGTTCAAGTCCTTAATCCCGGCATCCTCTAGTATTGAGCTATCTCCGATGACATAGCTGGAGAATTACAAAACCGCAAGAACATGTCTATTAATAATACTATGCATAGTGTAATGTTTCAAGCTATATTCATTGATCCCCACTTTATTTCTTATAATATACGGAGTATGTATGTATTTACATGATTTAAAGACAAGTTTTTCTTAATTTTGACCATCTTGATATTTTTAAACTGCCTTTCTTTCTATGATCTATACATGCTCTGTACACATTTTTGAATCTATATAATTTCAACTTTTTTAATTACTTAACTATGTGAGATCCTCCCATGTAAACAAGGTAAAGTTGCGAACATCTTGAACCCCAGACCTCAACTGAGTTGGGATTTTATCGGGCTTGTTGTTGTTGTTATTGGCGGTTGTGGTGTATGTGAGATCAATGAATGCCAAATTGTTTGATCATATATATTTATATTATTTAATGATCAATAAGGAAGACATTATGTATCATAGCCACATCAAGAACAAAAAAGATGAAATACATTTTGGGATGGAAAAGTGTACCTGCTTAAATCAGTATCTGGTTTTGGAGGGAAGTAAAAGAGGAGCCTCTGTAGGAGAAGAGTAGCGGTCTTTCTATTACGAGCAATCATGACCGCATTTGGCCCAGCATCAAAGGTGTAAGCAACCTGCATTATGTTTCTGATAATTAGGGTTCTTAACTGCAGAGAACAGAAGTCAAAATGAACCATACCCATCAACCAAAACTAGACAAGGGTATAATTGGGATATAATGGCTCATCAAAGCAGATCCAATTTCTTTGCTTGGCGGCGCTCTGGACCCATTGGATCCATGTGGATCCCAAGCGCGCACAAATCGAATGGTTTCTTAACCGTTTGTTTGGATGACCCTACAACCATAGTATAATCAGTTGGCCAAGCATAGAAGCCAGGCTCCGGTAAACCCTCCTTTCCGGTAACTCAAAAGAACTAACAGAAACTTTGACAAAGCTCAACATTCTGATTCTTGCATGAACCAGAACACATATTTCATATCTACCCAGTTTTCTGATGCCCTTTGGTACAAAAAACAGACTAAGGGACACCCATAACAACGTTTAAATGAGATAGAAAGCATTGAATAGTTATTCCTTCTTTTTTTTGGCATTAGCTTTTGTATGTGTATATGTGACTGTTTTCGGTATCCTGCCTTGCCTAAGACTCTAACACCGATTAATACAAGAACGCTTTATTTGAAAAGCACATTATACCAGGAGTAGAGTACCGTAAATAGGAAAAGAAAAAGAACAAACCTGTGGAGTTCCTTCTGAACGATTCCATTTCTCCACACAGCTAATTATCCTGAAATTGTAAGACACGTCGCATTTTAATTCCAATCCTTTTCTGTAAAAATGAATGTAAGCCTAAACTTCTGAATTCTACTTGATCGCAGATCAATTCCTCGAGTTTATAAAATTATAGGGAAGATAAAACTTGCCTATGAGATGTATCATTCATGTAGAATATAGGAGGAGAAGTGTCCAGGCAGACTGCATGAAACTGGTTGCTGTCTGCGCAAGTTAGTTGGGCAAACGTTGGAAAATCACGTTTTTTAATTGCTTCCTCCATCTGAAGCACCCGTTTTGGAACTACCTCCTGTAAGAATTTTATAGACAAGTGATATCTCTGCTAATAACCCATCATTCACAAGTATAGCTTGTTCAACATCAACACCAACCCAGTTGAATTCCACGAGAGTAGGGTCTGGGACAAATATAGCTTGTTTGATGTGTCTTTTTTTAATCTTTTTTTATGATAGTTTCAATTAAAGCTTTTGATCATAGTGGTTCTAGTAGATGCAGTCTTTGCTTTTAAGTACTTAATTTGGAACTATTAAGAGTGGGAGTGAATACCTTTGCTCTGTGCTGTATAAGTGGACTGGTTTCAACAGTGTCAAGCATCCCGCTCGTGCTACTCGTTTCCTTCTGCCTTGAACTTACCTGAAACAGATAGTTGAATAATTGGCCCAATAAGTGTATGTTTGGTATAAACATTTAGAGGAGTTAAATGCTCATTTTAACTAAACACATTAACCTTATAAAAATGAATGTTTGACAAGTTCAAAAATCACTTATGGAATAAGCAATAGCACTTTTACCTCTACGCCCAAGAACTCAGATTTGTTGTTTTTAAAAATATAGTCAGTGTGTTCAAATTTAAGATTGTAGAGAGTTTTTCTAATTAAAAACTAAAGACCCAATAAAAATTCAAAATTTCACATAAACTTTCCTTATATAAGGTAACCCATTCACACCCTAAGTACTTGACTAGACAGCATATTTGCAATCAACAAAAGAAATATAGTCAAGCCCTTTCTTTACCTATTGTCCTATTCAGCTTTATGGTTTGATACAATAGTTCAAATAGTATAAATTTTGAGGAAATAGTTACATACCACTGCGATGATAATAACCAGTTCATCCCAGTGCTTCTCATCCACGAGTTGAACAGCACGACTATCACTTCCATTTTCATCCTTTAATGCATTCATGGTAAAGTAAAATTTTAAAAAAATGAATAAGTCAATGGAATCCTACTATAGACGAAGATGTTATAAAATGAACATACTTACTTTTCCCATGACCCACTTTACAAATCCTCCAAATAGACTGCGGCAGGCACTCCCAGAACCTTGCCTGTGTTAAAATGAAAGCTGTCAGTTTAGTTTGATTCCGTTTCCACAATATCAAGGAAAACCTATTGAAAATAGCTTTGCTTAAGCAAAAATGTAACCTGTGAAATAGCAATCATGTAAATGAATTATATGACTATTGTTACTATTATAATATTTTGAGGTAAATGATTGTAAAACATACTTCCTCTAGTTAACAATAAGTGTCCTTTTGGAAGATACTACACAGATTTAGGAGTTGTTAAATGGAGATAAACATGACAATATTACCCGTCATTGATTGGAGTAATTGAATATTGAGATGAATTAAGAGGGGAAAATGGAACAATAACATTAAATCATTTAAATGTTGTCTTCGTTTTATAAAACCATACATGTAAAATACTCCGTAGGTCCCAAAACATTTTACTCATTTTGACTTCACGAAAAACAAGAAGTGTTGACAAGAAGTTGAAACAGGTCGAAAAGTGAAAAATGAGTGGTTAAAATTTGTTTAAAGGAGAGAAGTGTTTTGAACCACATATTTTTTTAAAAAAAATGGAAAGAAAAAAATGGGTGAATCATTTTGAGATGGATGATTTAAGAGAGTGAGTAAATTATTCAAAGACAGAGGGAGTAATTTTTTCCACAAAAACAACACTTATTGAGAACTAGATAGAGTAGTATATCATATGGAAGTATGGAGCCACTCCCATCTAAAAAATAGAACACACACACTGACACACACATCAAGAAGAAAAAAAATACCTTGCTATAGCAGAAAGATGAGTATTATCTTCTTTCACATTCATTAGCTTTCCAAGGGCAAAAACTGCATTAAGAGACATTTTGATTTAATTAACAGAAAATAAGGCAACCAACATTCCAGAAAGATAATGGAGAAAGCACTGTCTGCATTTTCAAAGACGAATCCTATATTAGGCTAAGCTAAACAACCAATCTGTATCTATGAACAGAAAGTGAGTGGGCAATCTGGGCATCATTTCAATACTGTTATCAAGAAAAAATCCATCTTGGTTGGTATAGATGCAAAAAAAGGATACTTAAACCGAGAGGTTTTATAATTAGCTATTTGAAGACAATCCTCTTCCAATACAGTATGTTCAGACAGCTCCATCCGATCTCAAAAACACATTATGAATAATGGTATCATGTACATTTAGCAATAATCTATTCTCTCATTCCTTTTCTTAATTTCAATAGAATAAAATCCAACTCTATCACTACGTATTAGAATAAGTAGAACAAATGTAAAATGACCACAATCTTTGTATACCCAGATTTATAGCAAGTTTTAAGAGAAGAAAGAACATAATACCAAGGCAGGCAAAACCAGCAGCAGAAGAAGCCAAGCCTGCAGCAGTAGGAAAATTATTATAGGAAGCAATATGTAAATGCAACTTCTCCCAGTCCTTCTTTGAGATCTTAATACCCTTCTCCTTATCCTCAACATCACAAGCACGAGCTCTAATTTCCCTGAGACAATTTTGGTATCTGCCTCCGGCAAGTGCAATTTCCTGAACCACACAAGATTATCAGGCATGACAGTTATGATAAGTTGTATTTCAACATTTTTTCACTCGTATTTTTAACAATCCAAATGAAAATTATATGAGTTGTAAATCCAACCACACCAAGGAGGTATTTTTAGGCCTGGCAATTTGTAGAATCAAAGGTAAACACCAGAAAAGGTCCCAATTTGAGCATAATACACTTAGACAGAAAGAGCATGAGAAATGATTATAGCTAATAACAACTGCCTTGAAGTCAATGTAGCACAACCCATATACTGTCGACTGTCAAGATAGGGTTAAGATATGTGCACACTTTCCCTCCGCACACCCACATTGTGAGATTTTACTTGGTTTTTTATTGTTAAGTCAATGTAGCATTTCCAATGCAAATGGAAAAACAGTTTTGACACTATACTTTGAGTGTGAATTTATAGTGTTATAAGGATTCTAAACAATTACTCCCTCCCTGGAGTATTTGTACTTTTTATGGTCAAACTGAACAAATCAATTATATAAAAAATTACATTGCACATCATTAAAAAAATGATTTCATTAGATTTATCTTGCAAAAAAATCAAAATTTCTTTGGCTGTATGCAAATAGTTGGTCAAAATTGATTCGTCCTAAAAAGTCAAACTATACGAAGGTAGGAGTTGAAACACCAAGATTTAAGCGGTTGGGATTAATGGAGGATGAGAAATCTCAGTTAATTCTCAGTACCAACACATTCCGGATACTGGAATCAACACGATCAGAAGTGGCAGGGAGGATTTTTCAGTACCTTGCCGTTGAGCCACATGCGATCTGAGGTGAAGGCGGGGCTGACGGCGACGGTGGTGGTGGTGCAGAGGTGGGCGGGGTCGAGGGTGACGCTGATGCTGTCATTGATGGGGAGGATGAGGGTTTCGTCCCTCTTCCCCCAGTACTTGATCACGGCAATGTTCGTCGGCGTCTGCGCCGTAGCCATCAGCACCCACCTGCTCTTCTCCTCCGCCATTGATCCCGCGAAGCGCGCAGCAGGTAGCAGAGAGAGACGGCGAGACGAAGCGGGATTCTAGAGGGAGAAATGGCCTGCGGGAGAGATCTTGGAGCCAGATCGGGGGTGTATATATATGGGTACGAGAAGATTGTGGTTAGGAAGAAGATGGCTTGGCTGCCAATTTTGAACGGGGAGAGAATTTTTGGTAGTTTATTTAAAGGCTGTTTTGATTTTCCGTTGTAGGGGTCCACTGGCGCCTCCGCCGTTGCACGGGGTCATACTTTGCTCCTTTTTTTGTCCAAATTCATTTATAAGGAGTATTTAATATTTATCCCACATCCATTTTGTTTCCCCCCTCAAGAAAATGTTATTATTGTAGTTGATACATTGACAAACCAACACAATTAGAGATAATTTATACTCCCTCCGTCCCGCTATATTCGTCCACTTTTGACTTTTGGAACTGTTCATCTAAGCACTTTGACTCATCAAATTCTCTCATATGTAAGCCTAAATATAGTCATGTGTGATCTTGTTTGATTTGTCTTAACATATAGATTATTACTACTATATAATTTCTATAATTTTTTAATATACAAATTACAAGATAAAATGGATAAAAGAAGTGCATTGGATGGTGTGTAAAAATGAAAGTGGACAAATACTCTGGGACGGAGGTAGTGTGTATACAAGCAATAATTATTTGTGAATACAGACGATTATCATATGTATATCATAAACACATCTCTAATTGTTATTCATAGAGGCACCCGTGGCAGATTTTAGTATTATTCATTTATTCTTGATAAATATACATATATAGCTAAAATGGTGATCTTTTAGAATAACCTTTTAAAACATTGACAGAATCCGTCATAAAGTTATAATCTGGGATATAAGTGAATTATCCAAGTTAACAAAAGAATCAAGAAAACTCTCACGCACTGTTTGGCGACGTCGGAAACAAGATTAGATATGATAGCTTAGTCCCACAAATCAGTAACAAAGAGGTCTAAAAGACTATACTGATTGGTTTAAATGAAATCAATCACTAATATGTATGACTATTTACATGACTAAAATAATTGTCTCGTGTCTACAATGAGAGATATTGACACATAAACTTAACCCATAAATACTCTTTTAACCCCTCATTTGAGGGTATCCAAATTTTGATTATCTACTAGTCCTTGTGTGTTATTTTAATCTTTGACTACTCAAATAGGAATAAAAATTTATTAGCACTATTGATTCGATTAAAGTATAGCATGTGCTCATATAACTCACAAGCCAATGAGGCATAATGAACCAATGATTCCGTCTCTGTTAAGCTTGAACCTAAGTTATTCAAATAATAATACGGAGTAGTAATTAGAGGTACTTCTACCTACAATATTTCAGTGATTGCTCGTCTTATATTTTTGTACTTCGTATTTAGTTCAAAGACTTAAGTCACTATCATAGACCTGGTCAAGAATAGTAAGTCTGTTTAGCTACTTTATAGTGTCAATCATGAATACTACCTCCATCCCTGAGTATTTTGTCATGTTTTGACTTTTTTCAGGCAACCGCATTTAACTTTTGATTTATAATTAAATAAAATATATTATATATTAATTAGATAAGATAATTTTTTGAAATATTTTATATAATAAACTTAATAAAATTGTTTTGTATCAATATGTAATATCATTTTTATTTAATTTGGTATCAAAATTTACCAGTTTTGATCAAAAATAGTCAAAAGTAGACAAATACTTCGGGGCGGAGGGAATATTTATTACTCCCTCCGTCCCAAATTACGTTATTTGTTTACTATTTCGTGGTCAAATTTTATTCAGTATTATCTCTATTTTTCCAGATCTTGTGGTATCCAATGAGGTTGTTGTTATTGTTTCGTTCTCTATTTCTGTTTATTATTTGATAAATAACATTGTCATATCATTTCTAATTTTGTTGATCTTTTGATCTACTTTTTAAATATATAATTTTATTTTTTTAATTTCACATCATTTTTCATATAAAATGATTTGAAAATAATTTCAGTCAAATATCGTGAATCAAAACAAGCGATTTAAATTAAAACATGAAAATAATTACTAAAAGGGAAAAGAGAGATCCAAAAGTTTTGACAACTCACAACACAATGGAACTTAAATTGAAGTTCCAAGTGTTGCCACAAAAAAAAAGAGAAAAAAAAAGAGAGATAGAAAGTTGAACGTACTGTTAAATACTTCCTTGTTTCTATTTTGATTACAAATTGAGAGTTACGAGACAAAATCTCTCTTCGTTTAAAATAAGTTTATTTACAAATTGTTATATCAATAAGAAATAATTTAAAAATATGATAAGAATATTTTATTTTAAAAAGTATTTAATGAAAATACATAAATAAAAGAAAATTATCGAGAGGAAAGAGAGAAAAAGATTGTAATCTATTACATATCCAATCCACTCAATTTGATTAAAAGTAAATCATAAACAGAGGAAATATTATTTACGGAGTAAATACAATATAGGTCCTTCATTAGCAGGGAAATTTTCAAATAAAATCCCCAATTCATAACTATGAAAAAAGAAGTAAGCCTTATTTTCTACATTTTCTTGTTATATTTGGAAATAGAGGAAAATAAAAGCAAGTTCTCTCCTGTTTGATTCACTTCAATGAATGAAGAACGTATCAAACCATTTCAAATGGACATTTAAGAACGAACTAAATTTGGATTTATATCTGATACCCTATTGGAAGAGATAGTTTAATGACCAAAATTAGAGATATAGTGGTAATCAATAATCATACACCAAACATCTAAAAATGTGCAATTCATACACAAAAAAACAAATAAGCATCACTTAAATTTAATTTAACATTCCTTTGAAAAAAATAAAGTAACTGAATAAGAAACAAGGAGTATGAAAAGAGTAAAAGAAACTATCAAAACACAATGATCCTACTGTCAAAAAAATTACAGAACACCACTAAGTGTACGTAGATCGAGAACAACAACAATATCAGGAATTGCGACTCACGTCAACTGGAGAACCCGTTAGTCATCGCTTTCAAGATCATCATCGTCAGGTTCAACATCAACAATGTCGGGAATTGAGTCCGAATCATCATCTGATTCTTGCATAAACCCCTTAAGTCTGCTATCTGAAAATGATATAGAAGAAGAGATGTTATTTGGAAGCAAACCTTCCATCAAGCCTGTGTTCTTTGGCAACTGGGCATCAGTTTCCATGGGAACTGAAGCGCCAACTCTTGCATGGTTGCCATTTTCCACTTTTCGCTCTTCGATTGGTTCTTGAGTATGTTTTTGGTCAACTGTGACCTTCGCACCAGATTTAAGGCACAGTAGATGATCATTTGAGGAATCTGAAGGCTTTATGGTGTTACTCTTATCCTTTGTAACATCAGATGGAGATGGAGCTTCCTCTGTTGCATCATCGTCGTCATCATCATCATCATCAATCTTCATATATCTTTCATGGAGATCGTCGTATTTTGACTCGTGTTGCTCTTTGGGCCCATTCTGTGACACTTTGTGCAAGTCAGAAAGAACTTCTTGTCTCCCTCCGCCACTGCCTAATTTCATGTGATCCGTAGGCCTCAGATATTGGCCATTAAAAGATTGGTGGTCGAACAATGGGAGAGCCCGAGGATGTATGAGCACCTCCAGTGTCAAAAGAGCATGTGTGCAGAACTGGGAAAGTCTTGTTCCTGTTTCTTGCACCCCTGCAGTGGGTTTGTAAGAGGTATAACATGCAATGAGTATTACAACTCAATTAACCAAAAAAAAAAAAGACAATTTTGAAATTAAAACCAACCACAGATCCTGATTGCCCAGTACCCACCCACTCATTGTTTAAATAATCCCCGTCTAATAACATTTAGATCTTGCCTCAGCTCTGAAAAGGTTCTGTGTTCCAACATTACATCCAGAAAAAGTATATTTCTCAAAGATAAAAACAAATGTATCCATTGCACTGAGTTTGTGAAGACAAAAGATGGCGTATTTCTTACATCTTGATTTGTACAAAGATGAGGAGCTATTACATGATAGGCTAAGCGATGATGCTTTCTAAAATCCTTTAGATACAATATAATGAGCTAAGTGATAATGTCATGCTCTCTAGAAATCTCTGCATATTTCTACGCCCCTCAAGCCAGAGCATATAAATTGTGGATACCATTCTGCAATGCTAGTTGGAAATTCAATCAATCTGGGCCCTCTGAGGAACTTGGTGCACATCTCCATATGTTGCAAAATTTACAAAATATACAAATCTTGCAGCTATGCAGTTAGGCATGATTATTTTCTCTATTGAAGTGAGAATTAATTTCAAAGTGTTGAAAGAACAATTCAAATTGTTCACTGTTTTCCTAAATGTCTGAGCTAGAACTAATACAATCTTTGGGTTGCCCATTCATATATGAGATGCTCCGTATTACATAGCGAGTAGTGACAATGACCAGTATTTTTCACCCCTTATATAATTCTTTTATGGCGTCTCAAGCTATCATTCATATATCTAGTTGTCTTAGCACCCTCCAATTGTCTTATCACTGAAACAAATCATATTCTCTTGCTCACTCCAAGATTAAATTTTGGAGTTGTAAAATCAACCAGGTATATGAGTGAGCAACCAAAACTGAAAATGTATACCTTTCCCAGTGCTATTTAATAAATGGCATGTTATCATCTTTTTTCAATAATCACATTCCTCGTTCTACTTTTTTTTCTTTTTTTATTTATTTTTTATTTTTTTTCCTCGTTCTACTTCGCATCCTTCAACTTCAACAACTCCGGAGCAATCAAATTTAATCTTACTTTGGTACTTGGTAAAGGCATAAATTCCTCACGCAGTGCGCTGCCACTGTTTATATTCTACCCATCCTGCTTTTGTAACATCCTTGTCCAGTAGCTATTTCTAAACCTGTCTGCGAAGTACTTACTATCTATGTTGGCGACAGGCTATGGTTAAAAAAGTGAACGCTCAAAGTTAGTCTCATTGATTGACAAGTATTTGCAGACCATTTGAAAGCTCGTCTCGCGATACATCTAGGTAGGTCTTGTAGAAATTTAGCATGATTCAAAGCAAGATTGATCAATTTATGTTTTTATTCACATGGCATCTCTGAATGTTATTTACTGTGTAGTTTATGTGAATGCCATTATGAATATTAATAACTCTGAATTAATTATCAATCTTACACAAAATGTCTCGGCATTTCAGATAAAGGATATAGTTACTTCTTTCGCATTGTGGTTGCTCAGTCCA